AACCCTCCAAACTGTTCAGTCCCTCTACAGGACAGGAGGGTGCCCCTGTTAGCTTTGCCCCCTCATCACGCTGGTGTTCTGGCCTTGGCCAGGCTAGTGATAAAGTTTTAAAACAACGGTGGGAAATGCCATTCGCCTTATTTTATTTACTGATTTTGCATGTTTGCAACTAAAATGAAAGGGAAGAGGCCTGTGTCTGTCACTTTATGGGGGAGTTCATATTCATCTCCTTCCTCTTATTAAGTGTTTGCAATGTTACCAACTGTCCCTACTGACTTGGTAACACAGTCCCAATTTTGCTTTCTGATACTGCTTTAGGACTGCCAAGTGGGGGCGGGCAAACCCCCACTTCGGAGGCCAGATTCCCGCCCCCGCGGAATCGGGCCCTGGGGGGAACTCCGCCCCCCGAAGCGCAGCGTGGCCGCGTCACCAGAGGTGATGCAACCACGTCGATCACGTTGGGGGCGTGGCCCCGATTGTCAGAGGGAAAACTCTATGGTTTTCCCTCCGACGATTGGGGCCACGCCCTCAATGTGATCGACGTCGCGCGTCACTTCCGGTGATGTGCTGGTGGCGCGCGCGCGCACTTTGCACACACGTTGCCAGACAGCTCCCGGAGCCCGGCAAGGCTCCCCCGCCAGTAAGAAAATTTGACTTGGCAACCCTATACTGCTTTTTTAAAACTGTTATTGCCCTATGCAACTGTACTGTAGCATTCAGGTTCCATGGGGTGGGGGAAGTGTGAAAATATGAATCCAGGGTGGAAAGAAACACAAAGCCACTGCATCGCTTGTTTTCTATTTCCCAATACCCCAACATTTCAAATAGCAAATGATACTGAAAGTGGACTTAGATGAGGGGAACTCTGCTGAGGACTGCAATGTTAAGTGTTACAGCTAATATGTTCTACTGGGAGCTGCGGCTTTATTTTTTTAAATAATAAATTCAACTTGAGGGGGTTCCAGTCAATAAAGCATCATTTGAACTGCAGTTATAAGCACTGAGAGCTCAAACTGCAGTAAAATCAAGATCATGTTACTTATTTAAAGGCCAGTATGCTCCAAATGAGCTAGATTGGAGTCCAGTAGAACCTTAGAGACCCACAAGATTTTCAAGGCATGAACCTTCAAGAGTTGAAGCTCAAGCTTTGGTGCTTGAAAGCTCATACCCCAAAAATCTTTTTGGTCTTTCCGGGACTGGATCTAGCTGTTCCACCGTAAGCCAACATGGCTGCCCTCGGAAACTGTGCCCAAAACGGTGATCATGTAACCTAGCAGTGGGGAGTTGTTGCAGAGAAGTGTCACAGCTGAAATGGCCTTCTGATCAGCCCCCACTGTGTCTTTGAAGAAGGCGGCGGGGTGGGGTGGGTGCAGTATGGGACCATTGCAGACTATTTTGCCAGGCAAGCTTGTATGAAGCAGCTGGTCTGTTAATTTATTTCAGTACTACGGCATTGCCAAAACTTAGAAGTCAGTCGACTTGGGATCCAAGCAGCTTGTAAATACCTGGCTGTTTCTGAGATTTTGGTTGTGTGTCCCACCCCCAATTCCGCTTGTGATTTTTAAATGGATGGTAGGAAGTGGTTCATTTTTATGCCTGCAAGGCATGCAGTCCTCAGACAGGATACTCGGCTACTGCATTGACTCATGTTTGGTGGTTGCTCAAACCAGCTTGAGAACTGCAATGGAATCTGCGTAATTCACAGAACAATATCCTAAGACTCCTGTCTGGCGTCTCCAGGTTAGGAAATTTCACCTTCAAGGGTAAGGCATGCAAATGTGCCACACAAGGTAAAGCATGAGAGAATTTCCAGTATTACCATGCTAAAAAAAATAGTTTTTTTCCCTTGTGAATCATTTAAAATTTAAACTTTCAATACGTTTTAAATTTTGCACGCTAAATACATGTGAAGAATTGCAAACCTTTGTTTGCCAGTATTCCAGGAGAATACAGTCCCCAAGCAAGTACGTGAGAATTCGTATGCACCCTCCCCAAGCTGGGAACTGAACATGGTACATGAATACACCCACACACCCCCAAACACTATAATATATATATAAAAAGAATGTAGAACTTTCAAGGAGGGGAATCAATTTCCTAATCACATTCTTTCTGTGGATGCCCTTAATTGATGAACTGTTTCTTGAGTCCAAATGGGAGAAGTCTACCTGTACTTCTCTGTGTGTGTGAGACATGCCGTCAAGTCACTTCCAGCTTATGGCGACCCTATGAATTAACGTCATCTGAAATGTCCCAGCATTAACTGCCATTCTCAGGTCTTGCAACCTGAGGGCCTTTGTGGCTTCCTTGACTGAGTCAATCCATCTCATGTTGGGTCTTTCTGTTTTCCTGCTGCCTTCAACTCTTCCTAGCCTTACTGTCTTTTCCAGCAGGTCTTGTCTTCTCATGATGTGACAAAGTACAATAGCTTCAGTTTAGTCATTTTAGCTTCTAAGGAGAGAGTTACTGATTTGGTCTAGAACCCACATATTTGTCTTTTTGGCGGTCCATGGTATCCATAAAACTCTCCTCCAGCACCACATTTCAAAACTGATATTAGATGTCCTATCGGACTTTTAAAACTGGAAAAAATGATAAGTCTGTTTCTTTTGTTGCAGCTTTGCTATGGGATTTCT